GTAGAGACGGGGTTTCACCATGTTGACCAGGATGGTCTCGATCTCTTGACCTCGTGATCCACCCGCCTCGGCCTCCCAAAGTGCTGGGATTACAGGCTTGAGCCACCGCGCCCGGCAATTTTACACTTTTAATTTCATCTCCATCTCTAATTGCATTTAAAAAATCAGACTGAGCTGTCAAATGTGTCTATGAACAATGACTCATTAATCCCAATAAACACATATTTACTTCAATGATTCCAAGATTTGGGCTAGGAAAATATCAGCTTCCTAAAATGATAATATATATAACCATTACTGCAAATCAAAGAATTATAATGGATAAGAAATATATTATTTGGAAAATTTGCCCCCTTTCCAGTTTCTGGCAGAGAAAAAGAAAAGAACAAATTTGCCCCCAAACTTAAATTCCATTTTGTGCCACTTTCCAAAATATTTTCATTGATTTTTATCTTTAGCGTCTATTTTTTTTTTTTTTTTTTTTTTTTTTTTTTTTTTTTTTTTTTTTTTTTTTTTTTTATTTTTTTTTCTTTAGCATCTATTAACTCACCTAAATGCTTGTAATGGTGATTGTGAGCTTGTAATAAAACTTTTACTCGATCCAATGGGGCAACTGTTGTTTTGGCACAGCATCCGGCAATACCTAAAAATTTTTCAAAAGGTCAGTAAGAAATTGCATACTATTTCTTTTCAAATGGAAATCATTATTTGTTCAGCCAGCAAACATTCTGATCTCTAATTTAGTCACCATGAGAAAATCTACCCACTGCAAGGATATGCAGATGACTGGTCCCCATTCCCTGTAACTTAGTGAGTATGATTACACTATTAAAATAGGTTTAGTAGTGTAAGTCAGCACCTAATATTTGATGAAATTGGAAATCTTGCTAAAATGTGGTTATGGAGACAGACACTTGGAGGTATTTACCCAACTGCCAGGTTCTGTTTGAAGTAACCTCCTCTTCTTCTGGATGAATTTTTCATTGAAACAATCAACTTTTACCCATAAAATTAGTCATTCACTTATACATTCAGCAAATATGTACTTGGACCTACCATGTGCCAATGGGCAGAAGTACAGATGAAAGCAGAATAAAATGCATACATGGACTTTGTCATAGGTTGGAGTCCAGGCCAGCCCTTCTACCTTGGCATGCTTCTAAAGTGATAATATAGACTTCTCTGCAATACTGTATATGTAGTAATGGCTTGATAAACTGGGTTGATACTCTTATAAAAAGTTGAATAATAGGCCAGGCACAGTAGCTTACGCCTGTAATCCCAGTACTTTGGGAAGCCAAAGTGG